TCAAATTGCAACCTTTTCAAAGCAGCAGGAAGTTGGTTGTCAAAAACATTGTGAACCTTATCACCACCAGGACGCCTGTGAACAATAATGAAAGTCAAAATAGAATCTCCACAAAATTAGCAAAATTTGAAACACGTGACTTAAGGATGGTAAAAGCAAGACATGTGATACATACACGCCATCCAGATGTTCTTGGTAATTTTGATGAAAAAGCCGGCAAATCTCCATGATTGTGTACAACTTACCCTGTATAATCATCTCAACTGTCAGCAATTCTCAAAGAACTTATAACTGATGATAATCAACTGCAAGGGGAATAGCTAAAGAAATCCAAACTACACACGCGCACAGAGAGAGAGAGAGAGAGAGAAGAAGAGAAGCACACTTACACCTGCATCAGCTGCAATAGGTTTTCCAAGGCGATTCAATTCAGTTTCAAGTTCAGCAATTGTTTTATTAATAAGGGACTGAATGCCAGGGATTCTGGACTTGATTACATTTTCCAAATGCTGAGACATTAACCAGTATGACTAGGTTATTACAACTGAAGAAAAGGAAGCACTGAATCCAGTACCGTCCAGTCCTTTACAAGAGAAAATTGAAGATAAAAAAAAATTTAAACAAAAAACAAAACATGCACAAAATGCCCAACAGCATACCTTTGAAAGCATCTTAGCAAGATGCTCAGAACCCATTCTGTGAGCAAGGTGCTTATACTCTGGTGTATCAGCAAAATACTCACGCTCTCTATGCCGAGCAGCAATCATGTCAACATTCTTGTTAATATCTGCTTGTGAGCGATTCACAACACCAATCCAAGGGAATTTCAGCCGATAAGATTTTCCTTCCAATATCTAAGTCAATGGAAATATGACTCAGAACATGATAATGCCTGAAGCATCCGATACTAAAGACTTTAAAAGGTTAAAGCATGTCTAAATCATGAATAAATCAACTTACATCAACTGCATCAGTGCCCTTGTCCATCAGATCAATCTTTGTCAAGACACCAAAAGTCCTCTCCCCTGAAAGGTTTTTACCAATGCTTAGCATTAGAAAATCCAAAATGTGCAACCATAATGCTTTGAACAACCCATAAGTCAAAAAGCTTACATATCATAGCAATTTTTTTTTTTTTTTTTTTTTTAATGTAAGAGTATAAATTCAAAACCAGCCATGGCTTCACATGATATTACTAATGAACAAGTAGAGAAGATGATAATCTTGAGGTGCAAGGCAAGGAAAAAAGAATATAGAATGAACTGGCATTGCAAAGGAATACCTGTAGGGTCCACCTCTCTTGAGATTTTAATTGCATCCGATGTAGCAAGATCTTGATTAGCAGATGAAATTGCTAAGATTATACAGTTGGGCTGCATTAAAAGGTCAACAAACGAAAATAGTGCAACACGGTTCAGCTATCATTCTTGCATTAACCATGAAAGATGTACATTACAAAGTTATTGAGGGACAGAGGAAGCGGCAATTTACAGCAAAACCTATCTACAATCCACTTTTCCTAGGACTTCAATAGAAATCATATTAAAAGTATCCGTTATCATAAAATGTGGTTGGCTGTAACATCATTGTAAATCTTAGTGAAGTAAATTTTCCTAGAACTAGAGCACTGGACTTACACATTAAAGACAATGAATTTTACCTTCTCAATATAGGAGCGAACCATATTCTCGATATCTTGCACAATGCTGTCTGGTTGGCCCTCTGCATTTAGCAAGATAATCCATCAATATCACATAATATTATACAAATTAATCAAGAATTTTGCAAATCATATTATGATGAAAAGAGCAAAAAAGATAGGGGTTGAAAGTGCTAAAGTGGTAACATGCTATAGTTATTATATTTGAATTGTACATGGGAAAGAAAAACGCAATTTGAAGATCACACTCATATTTTAGGCCCCTGTATAAGTATATTGCAGTGAATCAATAACAGAAGACTAAAATTAAGTATTAAAAGGCTTCAAATTTTCTTTAAATTTACTAGGCTTTTCCAATAACTTACCAACTGCTACCTTCGTAAGACCAGGAAGGTCAATCAGAGTCAAATTGACAACTGCAATAAATTGAACCAAAAAGAAAAACCTTCAATAAGTAAAGGAAAAAGCTTGCAAGTTTTTTTAAAAGATAAATAAATAATAATCTACAAAAGGAAAAGAATAAATATTTACAAACAGATTATACCGTTAGGAGAATATATACTAAGATGAATTGGAACACTGGAGATTTGTTTGGTTCGGCCAGTTTCTCTATCCGTCTCGTCTTGAATCTCCTTCCTAACAGCAGCTATAGCATAGATGAGGATGAAATTGAAAAGTTGATAAAAAGGTCAGCTGAAAGAGAAAAGGTAATAAATATACCGAAATCGGTGAATCTTTTTCTAGGAAGGTGAAGAAACTCAGCGTATTCCCTGCTTCCTTCATCACTCTTATGAAGCTGTAACACCAGAGGTCTCCGAGTAACAATTCCTGTAATAATTTTTAACCCATGAAAAAAAAAAAATCATATCTTAAGTTCCTTGCGATGAGGGGTAGATTGAATGCAGTAATTTATCATTATTTTTTTACCGGATCCACGCGGTAAAAAATCCTTGCCAACAATGCTTTCCAGCACCGAAGACTTCCCTGAACTCTGTTGAAATTCAAATCTCAGATCAGCTGAAAACAAAAAGGAAAAAAAAGTTGACTACAATTGAAAGAGAAGGAAAGGTCGAGTGTTGACCTGACCACCGACGACGGCGATCACTGGTAAAGAGTCCCAAAGAGTTGGCAGTGCGCTTGCCTCTCCATGGTCACCAAGAGCCGTGCAAGCTCTTTGAATCTTGTTCACAAGAGATATCAAACTCTCCATTTGTTTTAAAGCAAAGATAGGTGCCGGTGACTAAGATGGCGTCGCATTCAGATCAGCTATATCCTACCTGATGAACTGAAGAACGGCGCCTTCAGATCCGTGTGAAAACCAAAAGGAGTGCCGTCTAGACAAAGAGATGAAAGACTTTCAGTAACCGTAAATTGAGTCCCAGGAATTGATAGATACGATTAAGAGGCCGTTTGGTCAAAAGAGTTGTTGGCTCGCGAGTTTTTCGTTGAAAAGTCACTTATTATTTTCTACCAATTACTGAGGCGGCCGTTCATGTTTAAAATTTGAACCTTCGATAAAAAAAAAATAGTAATAATTACTAACACATAAGGGATATTATTATTTTTTATTTTCTAATACTAATTATTTGGATATTATTTATTTTTATATAAATAATTTTTAAATAAATTAATATTAAAATTTTAATTTTTTTATAAAATTAAAGTTTTATAATTTTTAATATTAAAAAATAAAAAAATTCAAAATATTACTTTAAAATATAAAAAATAAGAATTTTAATATTAAAAAAATACTTTTGAAACATTAAAAAAAAAACGAAGAAAATAAAATGGAAGGAGTCGTTTACAAACTTCTTTGAGAAATCTTTTCTTAAATATTTTTATGAAATAGTGATAATAATAATTTAATAATTATTATCTTAACTTTAAAACCTTTATCGTCCACAAGGAAAAAAAAACACTCCAACGGATTTCAAAGTTTTTTCAAATGATTTTTTTTTTTAATATTGGGATTGGAAGAATAACGTAGATGAATTCAAACTCTTATTTTACAGTTAATTTAATATTTTAAGATAAATATCATTTTAGTTTATGTTTAATGTGTATAATGATTAAGATAAAATAATTTTATTTATTAGTCAAAATTATATTTTTAAAATTTTATATAATTTAAATTATTAATATAATTTTAAAATTATAATAAAATATGTAAGTTCAATTTTATAAATAAAAAAAATTTTTTTTATTTTTAAAAAATTAAATTATCTTATGTTAAAAAATAATTAATTTTTATTATTATTCTACCTTTTTTTTTAGTTACAAACTAAACATTATTTAAAATAATTATAATCATATATTATTTATTATCTTTTAAATCAAATATAACCTAAATAGTTAAAATGAGTGGTATCAATTAAAGCATCAAATTCTTCTTGAAGTGAAAGTCTCTAAACCGTCTTAGCTGCTTAGTTTAGTCGCCCAAACAACCTTAAAATAGATATTAAGTTCGAATCCCAACCTTCTTCTCTTTTTTTTAATATAAGACTCTATTCTCCTTGAATAAAATAAAAAAAAAGTCTCTAAACCGTACGGCAACCTACTTGTATTAATATATTAGATTACTAAATTGTGGGTAATTTTAACAAGAATAAGACCATAATTACATGTTTATAACAATTGAAGATTGAATTGACAAAGATTAATTACTATTTACTTAATGTCAAGCTATTTCAAACTTTAAATTTATTATGGGTTCGAAAGAATTTAAATGTGTAACATTTTTTCAATCAAATATATAATTGAATAAAAAATTTAAAAGTAGATTAAAAACTAAAAAAAAAAAAAAGCAGTTTCAAAAAAATTGCCAAGCTAGTTCAGGGTCCATATCCCACTAAACTTTTCTCAAATGCAACTATTACCAATTTATGTGGATACAATATCATCACTTCACTTATTTAAGTTTTATTAAAAATCAAGAGGAGAATTATGCAAAAGGAAAAAAAGAATTAAATAAAAAAATACAATGGCTGTAGGATTTAAACTACACGTCATTGAATTCCTAAGGATTGTTTCTTCCCCCAAAATTCAGAACCCAAACAAGGACCCACCATATTATAAACTTTAGAGATTAAAAAATGAAAACTCCGCCGCAAAAACCATTAAAGCTGTTGGACATGGACTCTGCATGCCATGGCCCATGGGACCAATATTACCGTTGCCTCTTGCCTTTGTGGTGGCCCTCCCCAACCGACCTCCCGCCACCCCCACCAGCTTCAAACTCCACCGTCAAAGACTTCATTTAATATTTTTGCTTTTATTAGCCTTGCAAGTTTGCTAGATAAGCTTTACCTTTCATCAGATTTTCTTGTTATCAACATACAAATCATAGGACATAGAGATGTTGTCATTAAAATAGTTGTAGTTCAAGTTCATCTTAACAGCGTAAAGCAATGGACTTTTTTGAAAAAAAGCCACCAAGGAAATGAGGGCCCCAATAACAGCTTCAGAGCAATCGAAGCAACCTAAACAAAGTGCCCCTTATTCTCTATAATCATATCTATAAATGACAATCGACTAAAAAAAAATCAGTGAAATTTAGGAAAACCTAATCTCATAAGAATGGTGGCGCGGCGTGGCGTGACAAAATCTTGACACTCAGTTTGAGTCAGGAGATCCATATCCATATGGATTCTTGCTCGCCCAGTTCCACTGATCCCTGCACATCTCCTCAATGCCGTATTTTGCCCTGCAAGAACAACAGAATTAAAGAATTACTACAAGATAATGTGACTAATTCAGGGAAAGAAAAATGAAAAAATTTAGAATTTTGCATGTATGTAAGCTCTTACTTCCAATTCAATTCACGCTCTGCCTTTTCCGTTGAAGCATAAACAATTTCAGCATCACCAGGTCGACGACCGGCCATTACAAGAGGAATTTTCTGATAGAAGTAATGAATTTGGAATGTTAATAAAAATACCAAGAATAACAACCAAAGTATAACTCAAAATATACAAAGGAAAAAACCAAACAGGAAAACAGTACCTTCCCGGATGCTTTTTCAAATGCCGCAACCATCTCCAAAACTGATGTTCCCTTTCCTGTTCCTAAGTTGTAAACCTCACAACCTGTAATAGCATATAGCTAATAAGGACAGATTCTGCTAGTACAAAATAAAAGGAAAAGGATGAACAATAGATTGAGTTTAACAAAACAAAGAATGCAAAATATACCTATATTTGGATCAGATAATTTATCTAATGCAGTAATGTGGCCATCTGCTAAATCAACAACATGGATGTAATCACGTACCTGAAAAGAGACAAGTAATCAGCACTTTGATCAGAAGTGATCGAAACCTTGAATTGAAATTTACAAATAAATATATGTTCAAGTTAAACCAAAAATAAAAACTTGTCAACCTAGTGCAAAGAATAAACCAAAAGTCCTGAAGCATATTGGCTCAAAATGTTGAAAGACACCTAGTTTCTACAAATTTCTCTCTTACTGCCAAAAAGGGAGCCAAAGCTTCATAGGGGAGGTCTAGTTTATTATAAGGAAGAAAGGGTTTGCTTAAAGGAATGATGTGGCAAATGGGGATTCAGTGAATGTGTGGAATGATGCATGGATTTCCGGTTTTAACGAATATAGAATTAAGTATAGAAGGAATCCAAGGAGATATTAGAAGTTTAAACATATAAAGCTTAATTGACAAGGAAAGTTATTTAGATGGAAACTAAATAGAAATCAAAATCATATTACAGTTCCAAGACACATTCAAAACCAATTCTGAAGTACGAGATAGATTTATTGGAATCTAACACCCTCTTATACTGACAAAAACTTACCCCAGTACCGTCCTTTGTTGAATAATCATTTCCAAACACTGTCAATGCTGGCCGCCTCCCAACAGCAACTTGTTGCACAAAAGGCATGAGATTGTTTGGAATACCCTGGGGATCCTCACCTATATCGCCACTAGGATGTGCACCAACTGGATTAAAATATCTTAGAAGTATGATCTTCCATTCAGAATCAGAACCACAGATATCACGACAGATCTCTTCTATGAAAAGCTGAAAGACCGACCATATCAGATATGATTAGATGATGCTATAGGAGAAAATGTTAATTGACAAATACCTAAGTACACATAAGAGATTCATAAATAAAACTCGTAAAAGCATAATGACTATTGACAGTTCTATCTTTGATTCTTTGTCCATACTGTTTCTTTGAGTTGCTAAAAAGAATGCACTTAAGAAATGCTCAGTAAATACCTTGGTTCGTCCATATGGATTCACCGCAACCAGAGGGAACTCTTCTGTACATGGAACTTCCTTTGGCCAGCCATACACAGTAGCAGATGATGAAAATACAAGCTGAAATGTATTAAATTAGAAGATTGCTTAAGTTATAAAACTCAAAATCACAGTCCAATTCATAACTTATTGAATTATACAAATTCAAAAACTAGATATAGATTCAGTAAGTGTCACTCTCTGAAGTTACAAAAACGTCTATGAACTTAATCCTTGAATTGATCCAGAAGAAAGCAAAGCGAATTTCTCTTTACCTCTAGTGTTAATGATTTCCTTAGCAATGCAAAAAAAAACAAAAGGCAAGAAACTGCATTCTATTTATTTTTTTAGTAAACAAAGCTTTATAGCTGCAGAACTAGTCTATCATGCATAAGGGAGGGAGAGAGAAGTACATTTTTACATCCATGTGCAGCCATCACTTCCAACAGGGTGATTGTCCCAATAAGATTATTGTCATAATAGAGCAACGGTTTCTGTACACTTTCACCGACTGCTTTTAATCCAGCAAAGTGAATCACAGCATCAAACCTGCAACATAATCATGTGATAACCTCAGAGGTTGAGCAAGAGGAAAAGGCAAAATAAAAACTATATACCGATCCTAACTGTACTTTGTCTTAGCAAAAAGTTTTTCGAGTGCTGGTCTATCCCGAAGGTCCACCTGCACTTGAAAGCAGAGGTTCAAACATTAGGACCACACAGATCTATATTCATAACAAATCTTGGCCAAGTAAATGATAATTTAATGATATAACTTTCTCAAATACTATTTTTACAACAATTCAACAGCACATGATGAATTTGATTATGGGAAAATCAGACAAATTCCAATGTACATTTGATTCTTAAGAGAAGCAAAAACATAAGAATCCAGATCCTTCAACTTCAAGTTTCCAGATGATAGAAAGTTAACAATTAATTACCGAAGTAAAATAATGTGTAAATTTTTTAAATATCATCCAGAAAAGCAACTAATAACAGGTATAGCCTAGTAGTGAACTACATCCAAACATTCCCAATCAAAAGAGTGCTCCAATAAATTAAAAAAACAAAAAGGTAAGGATACAGATCAAAGATATAAGAAAGAAAACTTTTTGGGGTTACTGACAATAAAATAATATATTGAAACAAAAAAAAGGCTTTTTTTTTTTTAAAAAATTAAGGAATCTTCATCTGACAACCCAGTGACTCTGTTTAATCAAATTATTAGCTTACTAAAATTGTTCAATTGGAACAACAAAAGGCCTAACATCTTCCACTCGCATTTATAAATCAATTCACTAATTCCTTCATCAATCAAAATTAGAACTTTGAAAAATCATGTGAAAAAAAAGAACAAAGCCAATTAAAATAGAAACTAAACAGTAAAAATTCATTTACCATTCGCAATTATTTCAAAACATTTTTATCCAAAAAAATTCATCATCATATCACCGAATGTTACAACACAACACGTTGCCAGCTATAGCAATTCAATTATCAAACAATCCAAAAAAATTAATAAAATTGATACCAATTAGACTCCAAATTATTAATGAAAACGTAAAGATTAAATAAGCCTTCCTTCTCTGGCAACCAACTCAGAAGTCTCTCGTTAAAATAATTACAAAATTACACCTCAAGAATTTTTTTTATGTAAAAAATGAAAATCGGTGAGTTCAACCATTCAACGAACCTGGTGAAAAGAAAGGTTTTTGCCGAATTCACCGGCGCGTTCTTCGACTCTTTTGATAGCAACGTCAGAGGAATTATCCAGATTATCAACGACCACCGCTCTGTAGCCGCCTAACAGCAACTGCAACACCGTGTGGCTCCCAATATAACCGGCTCCACCGGTCACCAGAATGTTCTTCAACATGATCGATCCAATCAAACCAAAAAAAAAAAAAACAGAGCAGAGAAAAACAAAAGCAAAAGAGAAGAAGAAGCTGAGAAAGCGCGTTACGGATATGAAGGCTTTGTCCTTTGAATTAAATGAGAGAAAAAAAAAGGGGGAATTTATAGGGGGAGGAAAGAGAATTAAAAAGAAAAAGGAAAAATCAAAAGAAAATGGGAAAAGATTTTGTTTACGTCTCTAAACGATGACAGAAAGGAACTTGACAGTTTCGGCCACGTGGAGAGATTCAGTCTATTTTCCAATTCCAGGGGAGTCCACTGATTACGTGGAGGTTTTAGATTTATTTGGACCAAACTAACCTTCTAGTAGTTTATTTTTTCTAGTTTGGAGAGGGATATTCTCGGTATTTTTTCTTTTTAATTACTTCTACATAATTTTTCCAGAAAATTGGGTGAAGTTTTGTACTTTTTTATTGGACTGATACATAAAAAAGGGAAAAAGTTGGTCAGAAGTTTCAAATCAAAGGAATAAACTTTCACCGGGAAACAATCAGAAGAAAATCCTGAAATAAATAAAGAAAAAAAAATTGGTAAATTACCATATTAAAATGTTGTTTAGTACTAATATATGGATTTTCATATTTTCTCTACTAACACTTATAACAACTAATATAACTTTTGTTATGGTAAGTTTTAACATAAAAATGATCATTAAAAGCCAAATTGAATTTACTTCGATTAACAAAATAATATATCAACTGTAAATTTCGTTACTTAAATATTAACTTAATTAGCTTCTTCCACACGGATTAACATTTCTCTTTTAAAAAATAAAAATTAAATAATTTAATCATTCATAGTTTATATATATAAAAATATAAATATAAAATTAGAATTTAATTTAATTGATTTAAATTAATATCATGTTAGCACATAAGTTATGTTAAACCTTAAAAAATGTGTTTTTATAAAGAAAATTTTTTTGGTTAATTTTAAAAGAAGGATTAGTAATTATTATTATTATTATTATTATTATTATTATTTGTAAATGAACCAATGAGAACTGCATGAAAAAAATTGCATTATCATGTGATAGCGCGGAGGTGGACATTAGGCAAGTGGAAGTGGTCCATTATGATTAAAATATATTTAATCTTTTAGCCTTTTTGCGGTTGGAAAGTACAAACTGCAAGATCAATTATACCGTGAAAAGCAGCTACTAATAAATCATTTTATGATGAAAAAAGGGAAAGAAAAATGTTTTGAATCATGATGGGAAATTTTAGGTCAAGTGATTTAGGACATTAAATATCTAATTAAAAAAGAAATATTAAAATTGTTAAGAGTTATAAATAGATGAATTTTATTTTAATTATTTTAATTGGATAAATTTATTTTTTTAAGCATATTTGAATTGGGTGAATTAAACAAAGATATTAATTCATAATAAGTAAATGAATTTTGTTTTAAATATAATTGTTTATTAATAAATTTTATTTCAATTAAAATTTTATGGTTCTGATTAAAGTTATGTCAAAATTGCATTACAATTCACAAAATCAAATTTTTGGGATCAATACTCATTGAACAATTAAATTTTTTACTATTAATAAGAAATAAATGTTCATAAATATTTTATTTATATACTCTAAAAAAATAGTATTGTTAAAGGAAAAGAGAGAAAAAAATTAGTATTTTAATTTTCATATCATATAAAATAAAAAAAGTAAAAAGATAAAAAAATTTTAATAAAAATTCAATAATTATTTAATTTCATGATATTTTATTACAATCAATAACCCTTTAAATTTTTATTTTCATCAAATCGAACTCCTAAACATCTATTTTTATCTCAATTAAATTGACAAAAATTGATATTGATGATTAATCAAATTTTATCTAATAAAGATAAAAATAAATGTTTAAAATTTTAATTAATTATAATAAAATAATAAAAATTTTATATGATTATTAAATTTTTATTCTAACGTTTTTAACCCTTTAACCTAAAAAGAAACATCTTTCAATCGCGTAATTTCGATGAACAATTTTATATCAGGGAATAAATTTTGTGGCACTTTACCAGCTTTTCAAAACCCAGAATCTTATGTGTTTGCGTAACTGTAGAGAAATCCTCGTTTGCCTTTTTGCGAAGGAAGGGGAGGTGTAACGATGCGTCTCTACTTGGTGAATGCTCCGGAAACAAGCAAAGGCCAAGATGGCTTCCGGAAGAAACAAAAAAGTTTAGCTTACTTTTTCTTCCTTTTCATTTAAAAAAAAGGGGGACAAAAAAGTTAGATTCGGCCTTTAAAATGACTAATGATCAGGAACAGTGGTGGAAGAAAATATTTTAGGACTTCCCAATCGAAAAAGAAAAGGAAAAGAAAGCGCAAGTATAAATTTTAAATTATTGGATCACATTTTATAATTGTATGCCCTCTATTTCTTTTTTTTTTTAAATATCTAAAATGTTTATTTTTTATAATTTTTTTATAATTTTTTGACATTAAAAATCATAAAATTTTAATGTAAAATTTTTTTTAAAAATTTAATATTAAATACATTAAAATCAAGATTTTTTTCTTAAATTTCATAAAAATTAATATAATCCAAATATTTTGAAATAGACGGAGTATCAATTTGAAGTTCAAAAAAGCTTAGACTTCAAGGTGACTTAATCTAATACAATAAGATAGTTGCATTGAAGATGGTGGATCTGCTTATAATTGATGCTTTCTAATTCTTAGTCAAAGAAAAAAAAATTATCTGTTTAAAGTACATATATTCGGTGCAAAATTTACAATTTTCTTACATGTGAAAAATGTAGTTAATATATTCGAATCACGTAATCCAGCAAGCTGATGGAATAGCACTAGGCTGTGACCAGGCAAGTAGCCAAGTATCTATGTTTTGTAGCCACAATTGGATCCAGCATTAGATTGAAATGCTTCAAAAGGTATTTGGATCATTGTCAGACAACTAATCCCCAATGTTGATGGCCCAACTTTTGACTGATCCAACCAAAAAACGAAAGTCCTGGGGGCGAAAGCACATGATGCTCCTCCACATTGATGCTTAACCATCCAAAGTGAGTGTTACTTGAATGAAATAATTACTGGTTAGATATCTAAATCTGTTCTGTTGGTACACAGAACAGATTGGGAACCAAGTGGTCTTTCTGCCTCATTGTTTGCTTCAGCTTGGAGTCTCCATTTCTGCATAAACAAGTCAGAAGAAATTAAAAGGGGAAGATATGGATCAAGAGTCAAACGACATGCCAAAGATCATGGTAGAAGAGGAGGGGGTACATATAGAACAAAAAAGCTGCAAGTTTTACCCAATCATCATTTCATCCTATTTATAGGCTAAGAAAACAAAATACTAAGCTCTTCTAAGGAATTGAATTCTAATTCGATCTCTCGGCAAATAAATCCTCAAATTATTTTTTTCCAAGTTCCCTGACTTCTAAATTTTAATATTAAACATTTTCTTGAGCTTTGCATGACCAGTTTCGATCAAAGCAGTGCCTACTGCTACGAGTTCTATATCAGGGGGAAAAGTAAAATAAAAATTGCTTTGAGAGGTAGGAACATACCACTTCAAGATTCTGCAGCTCCATGATTTGTTGTATTTGTTCAGCAATGGTTTCCGGCAGAAAAAAACACTTAATTAGATTGACACATATGCATGGCAAATGCAGAGAAGATATATACAGACTATTGCTCACTGCATTGCTTGCTGCTTCGGCAGCTAGAACATCAGAGTCTATTTCCACCTCAATTTCAATCATTGAAGAGATCTGATGAGTAACCAATACCACATATATTAATCTGATGTTTTTCATAAAGAATAAAGAGAAAAGAAGAGTTGTTATGGTTTTCATAATAAAAAGACGTACTCTTGCATAACTATCAATGAGTTCAATCCTTCCCCTGAGGGAATTCTCTAAGCCTTCTCGCACCCATTTGATTCTACTTCTTTGGGCTCTGAAAACAGATAACAAAGAAAACATTGTTCCACTGTACTGAAAATGAAGCAAGAGACCTTAGAGCCACGTGAAACAACGAAAGATTTATAGTCAGACCAGAAGGCATAATATTGATTAGGAAAGGAGTAATAAGAATGTGTAAAGAGTTTCACCGAAAAGAACAAACTTTTGTCCTACAGCAAAAATTTTGTTCTCCAGTTGGCACATGCGATTCAATATCCAAACCTACACCATGAAATGAACAAACTTCTTGAAAAACACTTCATATCCCCAGAGGATGAACTGATATTGAAAGTGACTACGACAAATGATTGATTGAGGAGTACAATTTATCTAACAGATTTGGAGGAAATTGAGATGATAAAATTTACATTCTTGCAACTTATATCTACAAGATCAAGAAATATTCGAATCAAGCCCATACTTAGTTCAACATTATTACATTCACCACCAATATACAATATGAAGGTTCCTGTGAGAAAATTCACCGGTGCAACAATAAATTTTGAAAATTTTTAGTTCACAAATGTGAAAAAGGAAAAAAATAGCACATCATCAATTTAATTTATAGAGATCCGATTGTCACATTCTTGAGTAGAACTGCAGGTAAGTAGAGTACAAAATCTTCAAGTGGGCTGTCATAAAAGATTTAACTTCATGATTATCAAATTTCATAACTATCTTTGCAGATGCTCATTTCAGGTTGCTGAACTGGGAAAAGGACATGTGCATTGATCCGAATTACATTCTTAAATCTGTTGTTTGCTGCAATTCTAGTTATAAAAATAATAATTTGAAGTTGATGAGATATTGCTTCAGGACTGCCAGGGTGGGAGAAACTACGAGTTCCAGCACTCCTTAGGGCCAAAGTTTAAACTCTAAACACCAAGAGGGCCAAGTGAAAGATAACAAGAAAAATAGTTAACTAGATAACGGTTGCAATTTGCAAGACCATACCTCTTTTTCAGCAGCTTCTTCTATGTCCCTGATGCGAGATTGCAGTAGATCGTACTGAGATAAAAGCTGCTGTTTGGTGGCATTTCTTTCCACGGACATCTGAGGAAGCTGTCACCAACAATAAATAAATGAGTATATACTCATTCTCCCTGAGAAAATTCCTGAACAGGTTCCATAGAAATAGTGGAGTCAGATTGCAGAGATTAATTTTAAATTATCCCGTTTGCCATGTGCAACATATTACCTAAAATCGCTGAAGTGATACTATCAAGCAATAATTGAATGATAGCCTTAAAAAAGGGTTGGAATCTTGATGATAACAGGGTTTTAAGGTTTTAAGGAAAAAGTAGAACTAAGGCATGCCAAGATAATGGCCTACCTGATGCAATTGGAGAAAAATCACAGCATTTAAAGTTGCTCCAACAGCAAGTGATCCTAAGCAGCAACTAAAAGCAATTGTGGCAAACTTGGGTCTATCATCCCCGAGGCAACATCTCCAGCAGCCAGGACAGTGAGAAGTGGAATGACAAACTCAGGCTTAAGTAAGGACAAGTTTCCATCTTTTGCAGCGGCTCTTTAGTAATTCTGATTCCCGGCCATCTTTGTGGTTTGTCAGGCACATTGGTTCTCCAGGGTAGAAGTTAGAGGCCCTGGGACTAAACTTGAAGGGACCCACCTCTCTATAGACATTTGAAGGAGCAGCACAAGTAACGGTTACCCTTTCTCCGTCTTGTGCGGGAGATCAACTGTTTCAGTAGCAAACCTGTGTGTGCGGGCCATACCAGAAGGAGTTTGTACCTAAAACGTGGATGAAGGTACATAAACTGAGAATTGGCAACAAAGGATACAAGATTAGTGAAGAAAGTCACTGACAGTGATAAATCATATAACGAGGGTTCAGAGTTAGTTTTTGGTGATGAGAAGAAAATTTTGAAAGAAAAAAATCCTGTCATTGCTGAAATAATTAAGATGAAAGGGTAGTACTTTGAATGATCATAACAACTTTATACAAAACCAAGTTTTGAGTCCAAAAGGTCATATCGGCAAATCAGAAAAGCTGAATGACTCAACAAGATAAAAAATTATACCAAAATAGAGTGAATAGCAGCAGGAAATCTTTGCTTCAGTATCTGCTGAGATTTTAGCCCCTTTTACATGCTGGAGTCTCCATGCTGCGTTCGGCAGAAGGAGCTCCTTAGAACAAGTGAATATCCCAGCATCAACACATATGCGAATATATTGTGTTATCAACACTTAATCCAAAATGGAGCAAACAAAATTTATTGATTCAAAGTCTGTCATTTTCAACTAATAAATTTAGTGCATTCATAATTGCTTATGGAATGAAAGTAATGGTAAGTTAAAAAGAAGTTTAACCATCCAGTAAAATACTTGATCCTAATTTTCTATTATGAATTTTGTAATGTGTCATTTCTAAGAGTGTAACAAACTTTGAAGGTCAAGATATGGACACACTATTAATTAAGCAATGATTTCCGTAGTCAACCATGCTTAAATTTGAATGGCATGGCTGGTAGGAACTTATTTGGTCGAGGAACATAGTATAACACAAAGTTAGGTAAAATCAATTTTACACCTCTTGGATAAAGGTCAAACATCCCAAAAAGTACATCATACAGAAATAAGCCAACCTGATTTCTTCCGAGTCAACACTAACTATATTGCCAGAAACAAGCTTGTACTTATAGCCACATTTGGCACGACACACAATCTGCAGAAATGTATAAAAATAGAAAGCAAAACCTTGGGTAACTGATACATGAATTTTTGGCTTGAGCCTCCAAAACTTGGGCAAAAAATTCTATAGAGGTGCAGAAACAGAGGTTAATAATCCAGGCTAACCCAGGAGAAAAAACATGTTCTCTAACAACTTACAAGCACAAGTTCAGAAAGACGATAATTTGGAAATAAGAACAATAAAAACATTACAAAAAAAGAAGACAAGGTTGCAATTTAAGCACTAGCAATCTACTGGGCAAGTAAAAAGTGTATTTCTTTTATCTTCTCTGGTCGAGACCATAACATTGCAGCTGGCGTATGTGCATAACAGTTCAAAATTATGCAATGACAACCTAAATTTTGTAGATGCGATATCACTCTTAACAAAACTTTCAATCCTAGAAGTTCTAAAAATCAGTTCCAAAAAACTTCAATGTATTTTCCTGAATTCCAAGTTGTGGTTGAGCAACAGCAACAGCTATGGTACAAACGGGACATCTTACAACTTTCAAAGGAGAAAGAAAAAAAAAATCAAAATGACCCAGAAGGTTCTTTCAATCAGTATTATCAAAAGGAAGATCTTTTATAACTAAATAAGTAAAAAGAATGCCTGCTCACCGGGAGAAACTCCTACTCGGCAAATGTCATCAATCATTCTAAGAGCATCAGAGACCCTTAGCAACATTGCCAAGCCCTGAACTAATGTAGCGTAGAGACCAACATCAGGTCTTGACCATTTTCATCTATCAACCAATGGCCCATTCTCACTTACACTTATCACCAAACATTGAATAACAAAACTAGAAATACAATATTTTTCAACGTTCTAAGATTAAATAGAAAAACCGTTTGAATAGGTTTCTTTCAAGGAGGCTCTGGGTTTTAAAAGGATTGTTAGTTTTGAAAAAAGAAAGTGAATTGGAGTGTAAAAGGAGAGACAAAAGAGTAACGTTGTTGTTGTTTGGAGAATATTCGGAAAGTTGTGTTTGGAGGAGAAAATCGAGACAGCCAAGGTGAAGAAGCTATATGTTCAGAGTCATTTCTTTTTCTTCTTGGCTTTTCGAATTCTTAGCTCTTCTTCGAACCAGATATATATTGAAAATGAACATTGGACTGGAGGTGCGGGGAATCGAACCCCGTGCCTCTCGCATGCGAAGCGAGCGCTCTACCATATGAGCTACACCCCCTTGATGTTTATCTTCTGAATGTATAAATTATATTGTTTAAAATAATTCCTGCTGCCGCTGACATATTCTATTCTTAAGCCGATTCTAACACTAAAATTATTAAATCATTTTTTTTATGGCCAAAGATATTATTAGATCCTTAGTTGATCTAAAACAGCTTTTGGACCCTTTTAAGAAGTTTGGTAAATGGGATAAAAAAGACAGTTCTCAAAGCCACAGACCATACCATGTAGATTTCTTATGAATATAAAGAAGAGATTCTATTCGAATTTATGCGCATTTGATTCAATAATACAATTACATGCAGTAAAATATATTCTGCTTGAGTCCCTTTAAGAGTGCAACGTTCAACACCGGCTCAATAACTTTTTCCAAAGGGTATATCAGATGCCCTTTAAGGGCCGGTCGAGATTCATACATGCGAATCATCGGGCTGCTGATTCCTGATAAAATAAATTTGTGACTTACTCGAGAGCCTCATCGATTGCCCTATCCATTATTTTTAAGTTTTCAGCTAGCATCACGGATTAAAAAAATGAAGTTCTCGAATGGATATTTCATTGACTACAAACACCATTAAGGCATTAACACTTTTACAGTGCTCACAGTAGTTACAGCTACAATAACAAATGGCAAGTGTAAGAAACCACTATACATCCCTAATTCAGATGACACTACAGAACACAAACTGAATTAGTCACATTCTCAAATAAAAAGCTTGAAGATCAACTTGATAGCATTAGTGATAAGCAAGAAGCCAGCAGTATCAAGCACCATCGACAAGATGGAAGAACCTCTCTCAACAAACAGCTTGTCTTACAGCAAAAGGAATACATCTCACACATCAGTTGCCAAATCGGCCTCTTCCCCAAGGCATTCTTTGCCGCCCACCACCACCATTACTACGTTGTACAGCATTGTTCTGACGAGAAAATACCCTCATTCGTTGTTCCTTCATATTGGCAAACAGCGAATCCAGCGTTTTAGGCCTTTGCTTTGTTACTGGTTGGTTCTGCTGCTGATGCTGCTGCTGCTGCTGCTGTGGCTACAAAGATAAAAATTGCTCACTTGGCATCAAAACAAGTGTTACAAGAAACTCATTTAAATGACAACTTGGGAATTGGCAAGACCATCCCCCAACCCAATTGAAAATGTAAAAATATAATTGCCAAAGTCAAGTTAAGAAGCCACAAATCTATAGGATCTATGCTCCAACTCATGAAAATGTATACATTACAACCCCACACGCATCCCATGACCAGCCATAAAACTTCCATCTAGATAAAGAATACCTTCACTGAAAAACCTCCATTTGTAGTCCTCCTTTGGACAGGTGGTACTCCAATCCTGCACCCAGAAGTGAAAACCATAAATGGATAACAAAAACATTACAAAACAATGAGGTAAGTCCAACAAGAGACTAGCTTTCACTCAACATGCCCAGCAACCAGCATCAAACATTGAGACGTGGGAATCTTACCAGCATAGGAAGACTATTTATTTCCAATAAACAGAAAGATACAACAAACCATCTGTAATACAACTCTATTTTCCGCAAAACCTTTCCAATTCTTTTCCAATTCGACAACATATGAGTCTAAACCCCACTCCGGAAATGCTTTGCTATCACAACAGAGAGAAAGAATTCCAATGCAGTAGCAGAACTGGGGAGAACCACCAGGGTGAATTCTCCAGACTGTCCCGACAAGCAGGAACATCCATCAGAGCAACCTCCAAAGCCCCACCTTCCGAAGAGAATCAACACTCCATAGATGCCATGAAAGGTTGCTTAACAGATGTCAAATTTACATCTAAACAACTAGATAAAGTCAACTTAACCTTTCAACATTTCCCAACCCAATATTCTTCCTGCTTCGTTGTTTCTAGCTCAAAGGTTTCAATATGGCACCAGGGACCGCAATCTATTCTCTTCACCAAAAATTATCCATTTTAAATTGAGTATCATGGTGTCAATCAATCCATGGTTCTTAAAGGAAGATAAAACCCACGCATAAATTTAGCAGGTAAGAGAAATCCTAGAAAATATGAGAAATACGAAGCATCAGCAGTGAACTGGAAAAAACCCATTAACAGGAGCTCAAACTACCCAATTAACATTTCTAGACATGTTAAGAGTTTGTCAAATCACGTAACAATCCACCAACATGCACAATGTTAATATTTCAAATGCACATATACAGCTCTTGCACAATTGCAATCTTCAAACTTGGTGTCGTTTTTCTAGATCCACCTTCAAACATGATAACCATATTCAACACTTGCTACTTGATGCTTCAATATCCAACACACAAGGCAAAACCAATTTCAAAATAGGCACCAATTAGCCTGATTAAGGGATCTTGCACACTACAGATACAAAGCTTATGCTACAAGCATACTACTTCGGGTAGTGTGGACAAGAAAAAGCCAAACACTTCAAGATAATTCCACATTTGGCCACTTTTCCACAAGAAACCTAATAAATATTTGGGAGTTCCACATAACATGCAACTTGAAATAAGTTAACCAGGACCACATTCCAGAGCTCATCAATATTGTAGAAGATCCATAATTTACCTAGAATGATTCAATGACAAAAATTAGCCATTAGATGGTCAATACTTGTTTTAAACACAACTATTCCAGCTATTAGAAATCATAGCTGCTCATATAAAGCAATTACATGAGCTATTTGAAATCCATATACCTTGGTTTGTTCAAATTAGCCACCCTGCTACCATTAAAAGCTCTAATCCGAAATGGGTCAACTGCAGTTCTACGTGCAGCCTCAGCAGCCAAAGGAAATCGGTTCCCCTGGAAATTTGACCTTCTTTGAGCTAGCACCCCCTGATTAACATGGAGCAGACACGGGAAAAAAAGAGTTTAGTCAATGGGTGCATCCGGAAGATATCGCAAATTAATCAACAGCAGCAGTAAAAGTCACACACCTGTCTAAGAGAGGACCGTGAGTCCATATACTGGCGCACCTTCAAAGCCTTCTCGTTAGCAGCATTACTAACAGGTTTCTGACTTCTATTCTGAAGGTAAAAAAAGAAAAGAATGATCAGAATATCATATTAGACATGAAGAACAATAAAAATGTTTTTTCTTGACAAAGAAAATTCATACCGGCATCCTTCGCTGCTTCTTGGCTTTACTTGAAGTGTTTTTTGACATTTTAATGATATCATCTAAGTCCATAGAAAATAAAAACTAATCAGAAACCTGTTTCCCTTAAAAAAAAAAACAGGAACAAAGCAAATAGCTCACCCAATGTCATGTCCATTTTCTTTTCTGTGAGGGCTATTGCTTCAGTTGTAAGTGGTTTAGCCGCCATCTGACAAAGTAAACAGCATTAATCCAAAATAGTAGATGAAGATAATTTGGGGGGGAAAAGGGGGGGGGGGAAAGCAAAAGAAAGAAAATATCTTTACATTTAAAAAAAAAAAAAGCTCAATCTTAAGAGACAAAACACACAAACATTACTGAAAGGGGAAAAAAAGTACACCCTTTTAAGTAATTTTAAAATCAAAATTATATAATGAATAAACTCCACGACAAAAACTTATCCACAGGTATTTGCTATTGAAAAAGTTAGATTTAAAAAACCCTAAAATTTTTACGAATTATTCAAACGAAACAAAGAAAATCCGCCGTTTACCAAACCAAATTATAATAGAAAGTACATATAAATCAGAAAAAATTTCAAAAGAAAAAAGAGGAAAGAAAGCCTAGCCAGCCAATTAGGGTTTCTGCAGGTGTTAAACCAATCAAGAAAAGAACTCACCAAACAAATAATATAGATGCCAATTTGCAGATAATATGAGAGAGATCTAACAAAAAGGTAAAGGATTTGAAGCCTAGTTACCGATTTCGAGAAGAAAGGTTTAAGAAGGAACTTTGATGAGAACAGCGAAACGAATTCTAGACTTGGGCCAAGTTGTTGCTAGGGTTAGGGTTTTCGAGGTCACTTCTTCGAAAGAGGGAAAAAAAGGAGAATATTATCACAACGCTTCGGATGCTTCGCGACTACGCAACGAGAAAACAAACAAGGGGAAACTGGTGTTTATAAAGGGCCCTTGGCTGGCGGATTTCAAGTCCATTAAAATTCATTCGTTGATCGTTACTATAATTAGATTTCAAATCCGTCTTTAATTAGAAAATTCCAAGTGCAGCTCAGCATCACGATTTAATGGTGTTTCAACTATTTGACGAATACGAGTCCGCCACGTTGGAGATTTTTTGCCTTCATTTATTCGAGGAAAGTCGTTGCCTTAGTTTAGTTTCGTTTCATGGGGTTCGTTTCTTGACAAATCAGACATTAACCCACGATAGAAATGGAGCTACTTAGTAGGATCCAATAGGCATCGGGTTCCTAAACCCGTTAATTGATATTTTGTTATTTTTATAAAAAATAAATAGTTGTAAAAATGAGTTGTACTTGTATACGAAACTAGTTAAAAAATACAGCCATAATTTCAAAAGAAATACGATCAATATATAAAAAAATAATATTATTTTAAATTTAAAAATATATAAATTTAATAAAAATTAAAATATATATTTTATATTTGATATATAAAAAAATTTATGATATAATAATTTTTATATTTTATAAACAAGGTGTATATATATATATATATATATATAAATTATCATATAAAAATATGAAAGAAAACAAGAAAGGTTTGTTTCCTTTTCCTGTTTTTGTTAAAAAAAATTAAAAATAGATTAAAAAAAGGAATTAGAGTAAAATTAATAAAAGAAATAGATTATTATGGTTTGAACGGTAGTTTTTTTCATGGCACAGCGGTTTGCTCATCGCAGATAAACATATATTTATTCTAAAAGTTATGCCAATACCCCACATTTGATGTGGGACCAAATTTTCCTGAGCTACTGATTAACGGGAAAAAAAATGCCTCATCAGTTGACTGCATAGATCCAGTTCTCAGCGTTGCTTGTATAGCTAACCAATTCTTGCGGTTGGAACCACAAGTTAATTTCATTCTTGGCAGTCTCGAGACCATCACTTCCATGAATTATATTTCTGTAAAAGAACAACTAAGATTCAGATCGTGAAGCGAAAGTCACGAATGTAAAGGTAATCTAAAGAAGCAACAGAGCATGTACCTTCCAACAACCACTGCTAGATCACCTCTGATGGTTCCAGGCTCTGATTTCTGAGGATCTGTTGCTCCAATGAGTTTCCGGCCATATTTTATGACTCCCTCTCCTTCCCAGACCTGTTTACTAATGATTAGTTCAGCTAAGCTCAAAGCAAGTATAACGAGAAGATAACATTTCCAGTTCCTCTTACCATAGCAATAACAGGGCCGGAGCTGAGGAATTCACACAGGCCATCGAAGAAGGGTTTTTCCTTCAAGTCATCATAATGTTTCTGGGCGAATTCCTTTGAAGGAACCAACATCTTGATAGCCACAAGCTTGAACCCCTTGCGCTCAAAACGACATATGATTTCTGCAACCTGGAATATAGACATGCTTTAGCTCAGCGATAAAAAAAAAATGCTAAACTTGAAAAGAAGAGAAAATCACAACGTCCAGCATATTTTTATTTTAAGATATACACTAAGAGCAGAATGAAACAAGTAATGACCACAGGATAATACAACAATTTTGAGATTCATTATTTCAATCTATTGCTGAGAAGATTGGGAAGTTAAGACAACTTTAACTTGATGGTACAGATCAGACGAATCTTACCAGCCCTCTTTGTCCTCCGTCAGGCTTGATAGCGATGAAAGTGCGCTCCATCTGAATGAAGAAAAATGATTCATTAGGTATAGAACAGAATGGAAAAAAAATCAGAGAGATGAACAACATAAACAACAAAAAATATAAAGTATTAGCTATAAAATTGAATGGTGATGGATTACCTCTGCAGCATGAGCCTCCTGATCCTGAAGCATGTAAGCTACAAAGAGATAATGAAAACAAACAAATATTCAGGTCATAGTTTTCTTCCTCTTTTTTGGTAAGGTGAAAAGGTATGTGGAATTCATCCACGGAGATCATAATTAGAAAGACCGAGTTTCTTCTTTCCAGTTTTCCATTTTAAGCAATAGCATTTATGCCACTAATGGCATCTTCATTCTGTTTTAGAACAAATTCCAAAAGTAATAGTAGGCAGAAACTTGAGTATCTGGCACATAAAAGAATTCGTCATCATCATACAACTGATAAAATTCATTCCAAGGATGTAGCTCCCCTAGCTAATATTGGCTTATGACTTTTGATAAATTGACTACTGATATTTGAATGTGCAGCGAGCATGTAACTATGTAGGCAGGCAGTAGATGGATATAAAAAAGAGAAAGTGCAAAGACAAACAAAGAAAAGGCAGTAACATCAAATTAGATCAGTGCAGAGATATGATAGCTAGTACATGTTCATTATTTCGGGATTTGGGCAAAATGTTGGGAGAAATTTAGGGAACAAGTTGAATCTAAAATGCATCGCAATAAAGTATTTCCCCCATTACTGCACAAATGCAAAGTATAATTATTGTAGAAGAGGTCCAGGAAGCCACAATGCTAATACTTGAGCAAGGGACAAGGCTCCTCTTCTTTCACTCAATATAGTAAATCTAGAAACTAGCTTGAACCTTTTATTTTGCTATCATGCCCATTTTGTTTTAAAGCATGAAAACAGAGAGAATTAAATCTAAATTGAAATAGATGCATGCATCCAAGTCAGATCACGCAAGTAACAACAGAGAAAAGAATTGAACAAAAGAGAAAAGAATTGAGTAAAATGGTTGTCATCCAAACCTGCCACTGGAAGAGTAAACACTCCTGAAAGCCGTCCTCTAGATGCATTGGCAGAACCACTATTTCCATAAGCTGAAGCTAAAAGAGGCACCTTACCATTAAGTGAAACTGCTGCTGCAGCAGCTACTGCTCGCCCTTCTGCAGATGATAACACAAAAGTTAAATAGCTTAAAACAGAATGTTTTGCATGTTAAAACACCAGCATTTTCACCACATGGACAAAAAGTTATAAGGTGTAGGCAAGTTGAATCTCAAACATTCCTCAGCATAAACATTCACATTTCATGCAATAGAAATTACCAGCGCATAAATATATGGTTTTTCCGTAGACAGACACATGTAGTGTTTTAACACATGAAAATTGTGCTTCATTGCTTTTTTTCACTAGATGAACGAATGCAAAACGTAGCGGCTCACATCATTTCTTCAAGGGAAAATAAAATGTTTCCTCAAGCTAAAATGGATGTATGTGTTATGCATTCAACCTAGAAATCAATTGGCAATAGGTGAAGTTACCCAACTTCAATATAAAACCACAAGCAACCCAAGATTTAAAAGACGTGGGATAACACAACTTAACTGAATCATGAAAAGCAGGAAAGAATAGAGAATGAAAGAAATTGAAGTGAATACGGATGTAGGTAACAGGGATGCAGAAAAGATGTGGAATAAATCTTTTCCTTTCCTTTTTCTCTATGGTAATTGATAGAAAGCAAATCAGTTAGGGGCAACAAAACAGAATAGATTCTGAGAACTAAAAAAACGTGAAATAACATTCTTATTGTAATCTTTTCCTTTTGAAAGCCCACATAAAGAACAGTACCACACGTTAGGTTCAACTTTTTGCAGCTTTGAAAAAAAAAAAAGAACGTATAGTACTAACAATAACAAATTTTAATTAATAAGAATTGAAAACTAGAATTAAAATTTTAGGTTGCCAAACAGGCCACTAAGAAAACTTCCATCCAAACAACATTGACAGACAAATGAAAGAAAAAGACAGTATTGATGATAATAGTAATTTCAATGTTAATATATATTAGAATTAATGCAATGAAACAAAATATTGAAATAAAATTATAACCTTTGTTTTGATACTTGATAGACAGGTACCAAAATCAGAGTTGAAAATGATTCACAGGATTGATCTAAAACTGAAAAGCAAACACTTTCAAATGAATATTCCGCATTCCATTACATGTGAAATGTGTTCTTTTAAATGATAATAATCTTTGAAAAAAATCCAATTTTTGAATTATCAGGAAAAATATTAATCAAAAAATAGCTTGACAGATCAACCATCAATCAAGTGTAGAGAAATGAGCAAGGCGTTAGTAAAACAATGAGATGAGAAAATCACCAGAGCAAAAGCGAGAGGTCTTGGAAGCTGAAAGGAGAGACCTGGCAGCTCTGGAAGCAGATATATATATCCGAGACCTCATTCTTTTTGGGATTAATGGGCATAAGCTGAGAGCTAAGGAAGTGTTGTGTTTGGGCAGTAGAACAAGAGAGAGAGGAGTGGAAGAAAAAAACGAGAGGGCCCTTATATTAGACGCAAGTACAAATCGCACTTTTTTATGAGTGGTGAGTGAGTTTTGATTGGATTGAGCTCACCCACTCTCTTTTGTTGTGCGGTTAGGTTTTGTTCGGTCAATAAACGATAACCCAACTTGTGGGGAACGTTCAGTAATCGGTTACTCTCTTTTTTTAGCCCCATGGGAACAGGAAAAGTATCTTTATCTTTGGCATGGCACTTCTGTCACTGGAAATGTGGCAATAATGGCTTCTTTATCTTTGGCACTTGTGTCTCTGGAAAAGTGGAAAATGACGAGGAAGATTCTCCTTTTTGTCAAAATTTGGCGAACTCTTCTTTGGAGTTACAGTTTCATTTTATAAGAGATCACTCATAAAATGACATTACAGCATGATGGAGTCTTTTATCATACCATCAAATGAACCCTTTAATCTCTAACTCCACAGTTTAAGTATTTTCTAAAATTGTATGTGATTTTGAGTTATATAATAAGAAAACGGAACAAAAACTTACTTTTATTGAGCTACACAAGACAGATGCTGATTTATTGGAAATACCATCATGTGTACATTAACAAAAGAATTGTTAGTGGGATCCCAGTAATTTAAAGTAAGCTGAGTTCAATATGCAAGCTAAATTTGATCATATACAAGTTAAATGTTAAAAAAAAAAAAGAATCTGTATATGATTTTACTTTTCACTTGAACCATTGGGAGCTTTAACATCAGAACCAACCTTGCAGTTTGTCTGCAAAGCTGATAACCAGGTGTTCACCTAGGAAATGAGAGAAAAGAATAAAAGTTAAATTTGATTAAAAAAAATTATATGCATATATTCAAGCATGAATATACATTGAATTCTAAAGAAATAAAAAAGAAAACTTTATGGCATTTAATCAAAATCAAGTATCTTAGATGAAAGGCAATGAAGTGACTTAGACAAATCTTTTTTGTCGATAACCTCAGACTATTTAACTCATTTAGGTAGAGTCATGCAGATTCATGTTCTGGTTTCCAACAAATATTACTTAGCTTCATCTTCCTCAACTAAAAATAAGAAAATGGAGGATCGGCCCTAACTCAAGATATTGTCCAAGTGAGATCTTATTATTACGCATACTCAGCTGCATACTTTACAAAAACTAAACGAAATGAGCATGGAAATAAACGTTGTATACTGTGTTGGTATATCCATGTTTTAGACACAAGGTATACCTGTATTTTAGAAACATGTGAACACTCATAGCGCAGTCCTTGACGAGTCAATATATAAAAGCAATATTGTGTTCCTTCCTCTTCTCTTGTAAAGCTTGGTAAAGAGCCTACTTCAACAACATCAGACAGAAGGGCAGAATCCTGAGGGCTCAAATCTGCACAGTATATCTTAAGAAGTTGATCAGCATGTAATGTTTAGAATCCACCAGCCCATTACATGAATCCTTCATTGCTAGTGGTATAATTAATGCTTGACCAAGTTGAGCTAAAAAAATATTAAAAGACTTGAATTGAAACTTAATAATGTGTTCATTAAAGAAGAGAACAATTAAAAACTGCTTGATCATCTTGAATTTGAAAATTCAGCTCCTGTATTCCTGATAGAAGTTTTATGTCATTTTCCATTTTACACTAACCATGCAGCATGCACCACAGAATCTGGATACAATTTGTAATGATAATAGTAGAAGAATAAAGAGAATACACTAATGGTTATTACCTGTGGATAATAAATAAAAGAATATACATTGGCCATGAAGAACAACAAATCGAGGAAGCCAGTCGTCAACATCAGTATCATCAATAGGAGCAGGTTCTCCAGGTAAAGCCGTCCACCTCTGGCAATGAAAGATGTGCAGTTAAAATCATTAGCCAGAATAGTAGCAGTGCATGAACAGAGGAAGCAGCTTAAAAGAATAAGAAGTAAGATAGCAAGATGGGCTAATTCATACGGTTCGGATGTACAAATAGCCTGAAAGACACGCAGACCGTAATATTTCATCGATATGTTCCAACCTGCAAAAAACAGAAACATCAATAAAAGGAATGCAGAAATATTGTGTCTAAATCTCAATATTACACTCAATGCTGCTAGGAATTGTGGATATATAAGCTCAGGGAAATCCATAGGTAACATAGAAACAGCATGGTTCAGAGACCATTATCTGCAAGTTTGGCCCTGACATATAGGAGGAGAACTCCATATAAATTCCGGATCTTGAAAGGGTAATTCAGAATTCTAGAAATCAACTATACTCTTTCTTCCATCAAACTAAAGGTTCAAATTTAAAGGCTCAAACTGTCATACATCATCTTCCACTGCATTAAATTATTATGGACATGCATATACAGTTGACCAAAATATGCATCATGGTTCAAAATTCAAGATTCAACTCTCCATTACCGAGCTTTCAAGTGAGCTTCTCTCTCTTCTATATCAGCAAGTTCTGATCTAAGTGATTCCAACTCGGCAGCAGTCAACTGGACCTGTTAATAAAAAAAAATTATGGTGATAAGGGATGTGTGGTTGTCAATAAAACCAAATGGGAAGCTTCAAAGAGGCTGTTACATGAACCTTTTCCTGACCATCAGCACCATAATTCCATGGCAACCCTCGCAAACTGAACAGATTCAACATGACTGCAGCACTACTCAATTTTCGTTGAGACCATAAACTGCTATAGGACCTATCCTAAAGCATAATCAAACTAGTGAGATAAGATGAACTCAAAATTCTTAATCTGTTCTCTCTTTGACCTTCAGAAAGTAATACCTCGAAGAATTATCAATTCTTGGCTGTGAATCAGGTGGACTTCTGTTTTGAGGAGAGTCACCACTGGGAGTTGAGACTTGAAGATGATCTGGAATCACCTTGATCTTCCCAAGAGTGTCACCCATAAAGTTATATTCGCTATAGGAAGATGTACAGACCTATATCCAATAAAAGCAAACATGACAACCATACTTGTAGTATATAACCAAACTTAAGATGATATAACAAGCTTCCAAGTCCAGAATTTGTTTAAGAAAGAGAAAAAAGTAAGTTCTCTGATCACTGACTTATTCACCAGGCTTTATAAACCTGAACTATATTACGGAGAAACTGATATGTCAAAACTTAAGTCGCTAAGTACTTGCACAAGGGCTTGCCAAAAGATGAGCCAATTATATTTGGAAATGGGATTCAAGTTCTTTTAGAAGAATGAACTTACAAGCCATTGTCCTTAAAACATTGAAAACCTATTAGATTTCAGGTTCATCATAACCCACAGAAGTATACAACTAAGAGATCCAGATGAACACGCTAAAATCAATAAAAAATTAGGAGAGTGGTTCATGGCTGTCAACTAGCTAATCTCCACCTAAACTACAAGGTAGACATATATGAAAATTTACAGAATTTAGGAACATATAAGCCCCAATTATGCACCAGAGGTACCGTAAGAAAGCCTGATAAATCACAAGAATAATCACTACTCACACTTCACAGAATTAAAATCCCTTAAAGCTAACTCCTAATTAGAAATTATTAACCAACTTAAAACGCAAGAGGGACAAGGTTTTCATGAACTGAAAACAATCAAACCATTGAATTTTTATTATTCTTTATATGCATACCAAAGGTTGATCATTTAACTAATAATTAACTGCTCAAACCATGAGAAAGAGAATTAAATGAAAAAAAAAAGAAAGTTGATGCCCCCCCGATCAACAGATAAAACAACAAAAAGCTGCCCAAAAGAAGAAGCCCAAGATAAAAAGAAAAATATCCCATCAATATAAACCCGATCAAAATAAGTAAAACAAGGTTCTGATGAGCTTACAGAAGTTGATCTCTTGAATTGTGTAAGCAGCGGGAGCAGAAGAAAGGAACAAGATTGAAGGAAAAGGATAATGTTTTGATTATAAAATCTATTCTAACGAAAAGATGAAGAGAGACCCTTTTTTTTTACCAGTAGAAAGAGACTTTTAGACAAGGTAGAAGACGGGAAGCTAAAGAGAGAAGGATTTTGCGTTCACGGAAGGTGCTTTGACACTCCTCCAACTTACCATACATAACCATGACTGGCTGGTAGAGTCCTTTCCTTTGAGTTTCGATCGTACTGTTTAATTTCAAAGGACCATTATACCCCCGTCAATGGCATTTTTTTTCTTTCTTTTTACCATTTAATGCTTTTTATTCTTTAATTAAAAATAAAATTAATATTTTTAAAATTTTGAAAAAAGCTTAAAACATAAGATTTTTTTTATTTTTTAAATTATAAAAATTTTTAGAATTTTTTAATTTTCATATTTAAAAAAAAACAATGATCATGTTAGCAAAGTTAATGAAAATTAATTTATCATATTAATAATTGGATCAATATTATCAAAATCAATTTGTACAAAAATAATATTTTTATTAATTATATTAAAAATATTAAAATTAAAATTTCGTGTGAATATATGAACTAAAATTTTAATGAGATTAATAATTAGACTAAAATTATTAAATTAAAATAATATGAGAATTTAATTTCTATAAATTATAATAAATAAATTAAATTTCAAATTTTGTTAAAATATAAAAATCATTATCATACTCTAACCAAAAATAAAATATATGACAAACTTTTAATTTCATTTATGAAATTAAAACTTTTCACAATCTAATATCAAAATCGAACTAAGATAATTAAGCCGTATTATTTCTCGAAGGGCTAAGTAATTAATCACCAAATCTCACTTCAACCATCTCTTCAACAGTTTATAGCATCAATTAGTCATTTGGCCTTCTAAGAGGCAATCTTTTACTGCAATTTTACTCTAATTCTCGCATGTAAACTTTTTCCATACCATGAAGCAATCCAAAATCCGGAAGTTATCTCAACCTCATCCACTCAATTATTCAATTCACTATTAGAACAAGCCGATAGCTAAAGGTCTAAGTGCTCTCGAACAAAGTAACGATGAAAAGCAAACGGATAGTGATGAATGATGATGGTTCGGTACACCGGTGGACCATTATGATGATGGTGGAATTTATTTTGCTTTTCTTTTAATGTGGGGATGTTGATGAATCAGATTTCTTATCCTGTAAATTGTGTGGCAAAATAATTGAAGATTAAACCAACCGCCAATATAACTATTGTGGCTAGGATTAGAAGAGGACTTTTCTCCTCTCTCTCGCTAGTAGACTTGCTTCTGAAAAAACATGGTGTCTTCCATCACTCTCCCAACCCTTCAAGGTTCTCTACATCGATCTGAATTCCTTGTACAGAATCGCAAGTCATCTTCTTCAGTTGCCAAACAGCCTAAATCCCTTTATGCCAAGTTTGACCTGTTTGAAATCTTGGGAGGTAGGGGACTCTGCAATGGAGAAAAAGTTATAGAAGTTACAGGAAGCATCATCACTTGCTATTACAGATGAAGAGAGTTCAGGCAGCACGTCAATCCCAGTTCCAGAATATGCTTTTGAAAAGGAGATGATGGGGCTAACTGGAGGATTTCCAGGTGGTGAAAAGGGATTGAAAAAGTTTATTGAGTAAAACCCACCTCCTGTAAAGTACTCGGTTTCGGATTCTGGCAGTAGACTTGCTGCCAGAAAGAAGGCAAAACCACCAGACTTGCAACTGTTAATGCCACGAATGATCGCAATTGTGAAGAATCCTATCAACCCATTCTACATGTACCGCGGCATTGTGCAGCGGATCATTGATGCAAAGGCAAGGGTTCTTTTTGAGGGAGGAAACTGGGACAGATTGATCACGTTTCACCTTGACGAGCTTTAACGCAGAGAAAAGGACCCTCCATCGAAGAATCCTAAGTCAGCTGTTCTTGAAGCTATTCTAGAGGAGGATCCAAAGTGATGATTCCATTTCATTTCTCAGTCTCAACGCTTATAGATGAATGGTATGAATTATGTGCAGTTTTGGCTATTAAAGCTTATTTAGGAATCACTGCCACAGATACTTCAAGCATCAAAAACCAACAAATCCACAAATCTTCTAACATCAAGAATCAACATTAATATGTAAAATATAGAGTTATGCATCAGAAAAGGCCTCAATTCAATTGTCTTTCTATGTGTTTATTCACTTAAAATGGCGTTGAACCTTTTTCTGTTTCCACTGCCACACACCAGTATCATAAGAAATTGAAGTTTCAATATTGAGAAAAGAAAAAGAATGAGCAAATTAAAAGTCTGTGAAGTTGTCTTCTTTGTTTAAGCTTCACCAGATGATCAGAAACAGCCACCCATCTGCCAAAAGTGTGCCAAAACAGATCAATACAAACTAAAACAAAAGACAAAAAATTTGACAAACTACATGTTCAATAGATTGGTTTAAGCACTCAGAAAGAACAAATAGGGACACATCAAACAAGCAGTTTTACAAACCGTAGACAGAACAAAAGATGAGGAAACATTCATTGTCAATTCATTCACACGGCCAAACCAAAGGAAACACCAAGCCTCATGGAAAAGTACCAATATTTCTTCTTGCTTAAGTATACTATCATAAATTGCACCCGAGCATTTTAGCTAATGGTTGGTGCAGGATCCCTGCTCAAAGAGCGGGGTTTGTATCCCCTCCCAAAAAAAAAAAAAGTGTACTGGCATAAATTAAATACTTCTCCAGTAGAGTTTGCAAAGCTTTAGTTCATACGCATTCAACGCATTTTAGTGCTTCATAACATGGATAGATACAAGCAATAAATTCTCTGATCTAACTGTTCTCTTGCATGTTTTGTTGGTGATCATAAGACGTATAAATGCAGTTAACATAAATGTCCAATGCAGAAAACTATTAAAATTAAGACAACAACCTGAAAAGGAGGGATTTACATACCAAAATAGCCTCAATTTCCTCATTGGAAAGAGGTGTTCTTTTAGGCTGAAGAGAAGCTTTCCCTCCAACAGTCGAAGGAGCCTTAGAACTAGAGAAGAAAGTCAGATCACCATCACCAGTTCTTGTTGCAGATTGAGGCTGCAATTCAGAACCTGCAAATTTTGATTTGATTTTACTTTTTTGATCAATACCCATTAATTGCATTGTATCATTATGTCCCGATCAGCAAACATATTTTAGAACAATTTGACTTTTGTTTACAGATTCAATAAAAAAAAAAAATCAATCTTCTGTTAAGCATGAACATATAAAAGCCATAAAAAAAATGGAATAAAGCAAAATGAGATTTAATAACACATTAAGAAATTGAAAATAAAGAAAAGACAAAGAGGTAAGAATCAAGGGATCGATAGGCATGTGAAAGAGGAGAGAAAGAATACCAGAAGGTTTGGGATGTCTTTGGGGAAATTTGATGCGAGGGATTCTCTTCATCGCTCGCGCGGCGCCCATATCTCTCTCTTTATTTTTTTTCCTTTTCTCTCCTTGGTGTTTTCTTTGCTTTGGAGTTTCTTGAGAAGTTTGACAATGATTTTCAATTAAGAATTTTTCGGGTTTTAGAGATTTCGTTTTCTAGAAGAGAAGGCGGCGATGTTTCGGAAGGTAAAGCGAAAATATAAAATTTGATTTCTCCCACTAATTAAAACGACGCCACTTTCGTTTTATAAATTCACAATGAAATTTTTTAATTTTACAAAAGGATGATGTTATATGTTTTATTTTATTAATTATTTTTTATTATATCTTAGAAGATACGTCTAATTTTATTAATTATATTTATAAAGTTCAAAAAATTTATTAATAAATAAATGTGATCATTTCTCAAATATGAAAATATAATACTTAAATACTAGTATAAAAATAAAGATTTTTTTGTCCAAAAATGTTTGAAGATTTGTATTAATCAGAAGGAAAATTTCGAGCACAGACTACCAATATTAGGCTTTTCCTATGCAACTCCATGTAAACGGAAATTTGAACAAGGTCCATGACCTATGTACCACTGGACTGGTCCAGGCCAAGCCCAAAAGGCTTCCCTGCACAAATGCAGAAAAAGGCCCAGCATACCTGCACAAAAAGAAAATGACGATTTCAAAAAGCATATTTTTACGTGTGATGTTGAATTTATCACATAATAAATTTTATCCACTCTAGAAGAAACTATAGCCGTCAGGGACCGGACTAACACCTCCGATTCCAAATAATAGTAAACCCAAATTAAATTGTGAACAATGACAGCTCCAACTCCAATATGAAATAGCTCCATCAAAATCCATCAATGCTTTCTACTTGCTTGCTGCAAGTGGTCGAGCTAAGTAAAATTCTGGACTTGGTCCAATGGTTTCAGTCAAAATCCGTAACTTTCATAAATAAATTCAAGACAGATGCAAAGTTTGCCTTTTTTTTTAAGTCATCCAAAGAGGAAAAATGAAAAAGAAAACTATATAGATTTGTTTAGCTTTGGAGCTAAAACAAGCTGGCATTGACTGCCACAAAGCATCATATCAAAACACGCGTTTTGATCAAGTTTAATTCTGACAATTTCAAGTATTAAAAGAAAAGAGATGAACATGAGGGGTATCATTTTTTTGTAGATTCTGTAGCAAAGCTACTTCAAATGAGATAAGCTAAAGCCCAGTTTTCTTTCAATAAATTCACTTGTCTAACGTTTGACAGGCTTGTCTTCTCTTTTTCACAGTGTCTCTTTGCTTGACTTGATAATCCCATTTAAATTTTTTTCACTTTCCTAGCGTTTGTCTGGTTTCCCTTTTTCTGCCTTTTGGAGAGAGAATTTTCTTCATAGGGTGATGTGTTCCATGCAAGTTACAAGACAGTACAAAACATTAAAGCTGTCAATTGCTTTCACCTTTGTTCTTTTTTGGAGAATATTACCTTAAATCACGCTTAAAGAACTAGTATTATAAAAATATGGTTCCTCATTTCTCAGTCTTCATTCAAAATTAAAAAAAAAAAAAGTAGTCCTGTTACTTAAATGAACTCATCACAATGATGAATCAAGAACCATGAATTTCTTGTGAATCTCACTTGAACGTCCTAGTTTCTACAAACTCCACAGAAAATAAAGCGGGAAAAGAAGCGGAAGCAACAGCAATGCATCATGTAGGCGCTTTGCTGATTGTTGTCCACGGTGTGGCCTGTAGAGAGTGAGGGGGATTGACCAATATTTAACAGTCAATGTTGAACCCAGTTTTCCAATTTGGCTGAAATAGCGGAAGTTTCATATCCCAATCTCGTGCACTGGACGTCCTGACCCATTTCCCTTAGCCAAATATAATGTTCGAGATTTACACTTTGCCCAAAATACCCTCCCTCCCTCTCACACGTGTGTCCTTCCAAGGCCTCCCCCGCTTCTATTCCTATATAAACTCACCCTACATTTTCTTGCTCCTGCACCTGCTCCATCCATTTTTATCAGTACAAAAAGTGTTTTAAAAAAAACAAAACCCATCTTTTTCCCCACAAAAAATGCTCACCCTTTTAGCTTCTTGCTTCCACAGGGTCTTTTCTGGTGGAATTCTTGAACTTGTAGAATCCAAGAGTGCCTCAGAATTCATATCCAGAGATGAGTTGAGCAAGAAGAAATCACCCAGCAAGCAAAAGAGTTACCATGGTGGTTCCTTTTCATGCACACAACCATTGCTAAAGGTTGAGGATGAGAAGGATATGAAGAGAAATAGTACCGGCTTTGATGGGAAAACAACTACTATTATGAGAATAAAAGTGAAGATGACAAAGCAAGAAGCAGCTCGATTGCTCTCAAAATGCAAAGATGGAGGGATTCTTGAATTCAGAGACGTAGCTCGTGACCTTGTGGACCTCCCAATGGATCGTGTTAGTGTTGTGTTCCCTTGCCCTGGTAGCAATGCAGTGCTCAATAGTATCCCGGAAGAGTATTAGATATAGCATGGTAGAGCAGTCAGTACCGTCAAGACACTATTTCAGTTTTCTGGTTTTTTGTCAAAACTTTCATAAGGGAAACTGATTTAGGCACTGTTTTATGGATTGAATGTAATTTTTTATCTTATATTGGGTTGAAGAAATGTATAAATATGTAAAAATACAAGTATCACTTCATCCAAGTGAATGATTTGGGTTTGAGATTCAAATACCTAATAGTTTCTGTATCATTTTCTATTTTCGCATGCCATATAGAATCCAAACATGCTGTAATCTGCTATTGATAATTCTTAAACTGAACTTTCAAATGGCCCAGGAGATCAGTTCAGAAACTTGAAACATCTGATTATCTTATCCCTTGCCTCTTACAAGGTAATAACCAAAGGCCTTCCTGAATCTCCTGTTCCAGTTGAAACTTGAAAGCCAACTTTGTTGCAGGAAGGAGGGCGTCTGATGATCAATGCCATCCCAATTCCGGAGCCTTGAAAATGACATGAAAATAAATTTAACTTTTGCACATGAAATTTTTGGAAGAAAACTAAATTCAATGACTGGATTGGCACGTTTGAACACATGGTAGCTTTTGCTTATCCTATGGTTACCAATAAAACTTGTTTCATTTAATAAAATTTGTTTCTTTTCGTTGGAATCTTCAAACGTCCTGTTGATCTAATACAATACTGAGGATGACCCGTTAATAGAGTAGTCAAACTCGTCATTTTTTATTAAAATGACCTATAAGCAAAATAAAATAAACTCAAATACTAAAAAACCTCTTGAATTATTTATTTTTTAAAATAATTTTTAAAATTTTTATTTCAAATAAAATATTAATTTATATTAAAAACCTATTTTGATATAAATTAAAAGATAAAGAATAATTGAGATACAAATTAATTTTAAAGATTTATTGATGAAATTAAATATAAAGATTTATTTAGATATAATAAAAATATAAAAATTGATAAAGGTTAAGAAATTTTTTTATTATTTACCAATAAAATAAGTTTTAGAGCATACATGGGGGACGCTGTGGGTGTTTTTGGGTCAGTCAAAATAAGGGAGTCCCCCTTCAATTGGAGCCCACTGATGACTTTTGTTGTTGATTCCATCCATTACTCGCAAATAGTTACAAAACCATGCAATTCACAATGGGTCTTTTGTTGTGATGTAGAAAAGGGGTCCCAATGAATGATAATGGCCGTTTTCTGTTGGATGAGGAAAAAGAATGGGCCTCACATTGGTATATTGACACGTCCATGACCCAATTGAGATTGATTTATGTCACGTCAATTTCGTTTTCAGTATCCAACTGGCCTAAGTCTCCGTCTTAATGTTGGCCCATGTGGCCCATATCTGATTTCTCTCTTTAGGAAATTGTAGCATAATTACATGCAAGATACGCATACTAGAAGCTGATGCGATGCTAAAGTCAACAATTCAACGCGTAAACTTCGAGGACAATTTAGATGGTCATTAATTAAATTTAAATATTAATTTCAATAAAATTTATTTTATTAAATTTTATTTTTAATAATAATTTCATTAATTATTATAAAATTTTTTAATTTTATTAAAATAATTTTATCATTCGTCTAAATAAATTCTTAATAAAAAAATTTTATTTTTTAATTTGATTTTTTTGAAAAATCGATGGAGTCAATTCTACGGGGAGAAAAAAATAAAAGGAAGTTACAATGACCTCTTTTTACGAGCATTTTGTAGCTTTAAAGTTAAAACCAATCATAATCAGGGGAGAAATAGTAGGTCATATCAAGATGACTCGGTCCTATGATTGAGAAATGCATACTTTGAAGCCTAAGACACCGTCAAATGTTGGAAAACCAGATCCAAATAATTCGACCTGCAAACTAAAGTTAGCACACTTTATTAAAGCCGTATGCCGGGAGCCGCTTTGATTAAATGATCCCCGCTTTTACTTTATTCCATTCGTATAATTAAACAAAAATTTTGGGACTGGACACAAATCCTTTCTATTCAAATGAAACTTTAATTATATTATTATTAGCTCGGATTTTAACAATTAATACACAACCGTTAATTTTCAAGATGGTTAAATATAGAAAGGTAAGCTTCAATATTAAATAATGGAAGAAAAAAATGTAAAATTTAAAGACTTCTTATGTTACCAAACGAGATCACGTTTTAATGTTAAAAAAAAAAAAAGAGAAGAGATTATATGATTTAGGTTTAATCTAATTTTATGTTAAATTTATTTAATTATATATTTATGTTGAATATATTTAATTAAATATTGATTCTTTAGATAATTTATACCATTTGTTTTTATTATCGATTCTCGAACCCTACGCTCGTAGTTGAAGTGTCAAACACTTAATCTTAGAGGACGAGGAGAGCCAGGTATCTGTACCATTATTGCTGGTCTAAGAAGCAAATTCGGTCATACTAAACTAATAAGAAGCGAGAATTCTATTTGCCTTCTAATTTTTATTCTACGTACCCCATTATTAAATATACTTTAAATTTAAAATTTTTTATTTTTAGTAAATACATCCATCCCTCAACAATAGGTTTTTTTTTATTCCCTTAATATTTTTTTCTTCCTGTTTTCTTCTTCTTCCTTCAATCTTAAACTCAAATTAACCCTAATTAAGCCATCATATTAATCCAAAAATTATGTTTTTTTAATCTTTTATTGATTGAAAATAAGATTTAAAAATTTATTTCATTTGATTTGATTGAAATGCAAGTAAAAATAAGTTAAGATTTATGAAATGTATGTATTTTATAAAATTCAAGCTTTTAGAAAATGAATTTTTAAGAAATTTTAAAGATTTTTTGAAAATGAATTTTTCAAAAACCCTTAAAGCTCTTAGAAATCTTAACACTCTTGAAAAAGAAAATGAATTTTTAAGAGCTTTAAAGGTTTATGGGAAATTTATAGAAACTTTTAAAATTTTTTAAAATTTATTTTTGAAAAGTTTTTAAGATTCTTAGAAGTCTATTTTCAATAAATTTTATTTCAAAATATAACATAAATTTTGAATATTTATTTTTGAAAATAAAACAAAATTTTTGGAAATAAATATTCAAAAACATAAAAAATTAAATTCAATTGGGTATAAGAGAAAGAATGACGAGAGAAGAAAAAGAAAAAGGAAGAAAAGGGAAAGATGAAGATGGTAAAATTGTAATTTATTAAAAGATAAATTTGATATTTATTATGTGAGTACTTTTAAAAGAAAATTAACAGGATGGAAAGAGAAATTTGAATGATGTATTTAGAAGCCCCCATGAGAAGCCGATCTCCCATTGTTTTCAGGGGGTCCACAAAACGGTGATCTCTTCTAAAAGTTGAAGAATGTTCAACAGTTTGGAAGAGAAAAAAAAAGGTTCAGAAAATTCCAGTTGGAAACTTATGATCGAGCTGTTGAGTTGTTTGTTGTTGATCAATTTGATGCTGAATTCTGGCCCTATGACTAATAAGTATGACTACCTCAAGCTGATCTACGCCAACTGTCAAAAACTTGTCTCAGGAGTCAGGCCCCCAGCCATCTCTCTCACCCTTTCCCATCCCACTCTCAAGGGAAGGAGGAGGAGAATTAGAATTAGAATTAGAGATTTGCAAGATTTGGTAGGTAAAACTAAAATTGACATTCTTAACTTCTAATTCCATAAAGTCCAAAAAAGAAATTTCATCATCAATTCCATAAAGCACAGCTTACAAATGACAGTGTTTTTCAGGTTACATATATATATATATATATATATATTAAATCTTAAATTATATCATTTTTAATTTTGAGTGATCATAATTCAAATTCTGATTATTTCAAATATGTATAAAACCAATCAATCATCTCAAGTAGATATGCCTACTGATCTTTGTTTAACTCCAGGAAACTTGAATAAAAGATCTAAGTTTATAGTAATTAAGAGAGAAAGTTCTATATATGTATTTATCCAAAAACTCCTCTCTAAAGGTAGAGAAACATTTGGAACTTGGTTCATCACACAATTGCGAATGATAATTCTGATATATCCTGCCATGGAGTTACCCAAGTATATAAAAAAGAGGTTCTGAAGAATATGAATAAAAAACCCTAAGGCTAAAAAGTAAGAAGAAAGAGAGACGGAGAGGAAAAGCAAGAAAAAAAGGATTGAAGCTTCATGATGATCTGTTGTCCATTTCAAGTCCTTCAGCTGGTTCGACGTCTTCCATGATACTCTCCAATGAAGGCCTCCAGGAATCAACTTTTCCTGATCTTGCTTCCTCCATTTCCACCAAAAGATCCTGTAAGCTCTTTCCTCCATTACTGTTATTCTTCAGCTTCAGCAGGAACAACTCTAGCTCCTCTTTTGTAAGCACTATCTTCACCTTTATGCTGCCTTTCCCAAACTCCGTTGCAGCTTCACCAAACTCTTCTACTTCCTCTTCTTCCAGCTTCCTTGATCTGGATGTCTTCATAATGCAATTCCCCATGATTTTTCCACTTCCAAAACTTCAAATCCCTCCCTGAAAAAAAAAAAAAAAAAAACCCACTCTTTCTTGAGTGATCTTAGAAAGGAAAAAGAGTAGTCACCTAATGACTCTGATGCATGTGAAATTGTGAAAGTGAGTGACTAACTATTTATAGACATAATTTGTTACTAATTACAATCCCCTGTATTAATTAAATATATGTTCTTGGACTTATTTTCTTCACGAGACTTGATTTTTTCTGCATGCTAAGTGACAAACTGAACTGTCCACATTATAAACTATAGATTAATACTACTATGCCATTTATTCGTACAACTTTTTTTGGGTGGAAATTTATTAGGACAACTTTATATCATATCCGAATTAAATGTACTCCATTACACACCGTGTTACAACTGTGGCAAAGGACATTATCTTTTAGACAAGCTAGCATTCCTGCTAGTTCTTCGTTGGATATGAATATTTGTCTTAGCATTTTCATATACTGTACCTTATATTTATTATTTAACTAATTTAGTGATTTCATGATCTCAATAACAATAAATTTTTTTTTTGAGGTTTGATTGTTAAAACCATTTTTCCAGGTTGAATTTTCATCCCAATGACTAATTTTTGGTTTAAAGTGCAAAAAAGAGAAGGATAGATGGACTAAAAATTTTCAAATTTTCTTTGCAAAATATAAATTATAATTACTTGTATACTTGATAGGAAAATGCCAGAAAGAATTTAAGAAAGAAAAAAGTTGACAGCATACTTGTCAGCTTTGACAGTTTCAAAGTGTGAAATATTGAACTTTGCTTCAAAAAGAATATAACTAGTTTAGTGTGAACGTCTTTTAATTTATGATTTCTGGACAGAAATTTGACCAGATTAATACTCCAATATTGCTGCTTTTAAGTTTCCTTCGATTTGCTTAAAGAAGAAAAAACAGCATGGAAAAAACTATAATTGCTGAGAAAATTACATTTTTTTTTTAATTTTTGTTATTCAAAGATAAAATAATCATTCTTTTCTTACTAATTTTCTTTCCCAATGGCAACTACTAGGAATTTTTTTTTTTAAGAACTTTCTCTAGACAAACCAAAAAGGGGAATCGTCAATTGGATCAAAAGTAAATTTGTGGAAAATGTTAGGAGGCAAAATATTGGAAATTTGGCATATGATGAAGCAAACTTTGGTTTTTGTCAATATTTATTTATATTATATATAAGAATCAAATCCCCGACACTGTCACGGGCAAAAATAACTTCTTCACTACCTCACATGTTATTAAAGATTGTTGAAGTTTGATTTGAAAAATGAAAGTTGAGTCATATCCACCTGGACAATGGACTGATGACAGAAAACTCGTGTTCATATAAGTACATGAATTTTAAAAAATCCAATGATTTTTTTTACTTATAAAAATCAACGATGAGTTTTATATATATATTTATGTAAATTTTTTCCTTTTCTTAAAATGTTTTTTTAAAAACAATAGTGGTACACTCGTTATCTATAGTTTAATCTCCCAAATCAAAGGGATTAATGAAATTAACATATTGATTTATTTAATTAAAAAAAAGTTATCACTTAGTTTATTATTTAATGTTTTTTCTTAACTCTAGTGGTTGGCTATTAAAAAACTTGACCCTCCATACATTTCTTTAACATGTCATTATCGATACCATGATATCATTGTTGAGCTTTGTCTGAATGAAAAATGGCAGAATTTACGTACAGACAATGTTCACCGGCCGTTACCTACGTTTTGTTTTTTTCACTAATGCAAGGATTTTCCATTGATAGAGATAATAAACAATAATATTTTAATAATAATTATAATGACGTACTACTTGATTTGTGAACACGAGGCTATGTCAAGTTCTCCTTTAACTTTTATCTTTTCAGGTGGAAATTTAAGAAAAGTTAAAAGCACTAGCATGGAAAGATTGGTAAAGCTTGATGGTGATTTAGATTAAAAAATTACACCTTTTTCTTCTGCTTTTTTAAAATGACTTTTAAGTTGAATAATATTATTAAATAAAAAAGTCTTTCACTCCATAAAAATCTGTCAAAGAGATCTAGAATTTCATAGTAATTTAGTGGCTATAGCATACTGTGATTGTGCTTCATGTTACAAGTTTCATTTATCAATATCTTTAATTATAAAAAAAAAAAAACTATTAGCTACTACAATAAATAAATTATGCATTATCATATTATCATTAGGAGCATTTAAAATTCTTATTTTTTATATAAAAGTATTTTTGTAATTTTTTTATTTTTTGATATTAAAAATCATGAAATTTTAATTTTAATATTAAATATTTTAAAGTAAAAATATTTTATTAAATTTCTAAAAAATTAATATATGACAAATATTTTAAAACGAAGAAAGTATTAGAAAACTTACAAAATTGAGAGAAAAGTATAAATTTAATTTTGAATTCCAAGGCAATATAGTAATTATATTTTTTCATTATTCCAAGCAGTGTATTGAAGTTTACTTATAAGAAGAAATGAAGCTCCTCTACTTTGTCAAATGTTTTTCTTGGGTTAAGTTTCTGTCAAACCACGTGGTCAGCATATCTCTAATAAATACAACAAGGTGTGAACATGGATTTTATGCTCGAAATCCAATCCGCAAAATTTTCTTCTTTTTGACTACGATTGACAACAAAAGGTGCCAACAGTCATCGGTCTATTGGTATTGATGTTTATTAGTTAAATCTTGGAGTTATATAAGCATTAGATTTTAATAATCTTAAATAAAAAAATATAAAAATCATATATATATATATATATATAACTAATTTATGTCTTTCTTTCGCCATAATACAATGTTAAAAAATTAGTTAAAATCCTAAAAAAAATTTGAACTATTTAATTTTATTTAAATAAGCTTATATTCTTTTATATTTTTTAAATAAAACTTTATAATTTTATTTGTACTCATATAAATCCTTATCTTTAAGAGTGTCTATAAATAAGATATGAAACGGATAAAATATTTTTCATTCTTATTATCATTTTTTTATATTATACACATATTTGTATCCATATTTAACAATATTTTAAATTTATTCTTATCTCTATCTTCATTCTCATGAGTATTTAATTAGTATAAGTAATTTTCGTACCTATAATTTTTACAAAAATAAAAAAATAATAATTTTTTTAGCTTTATTTTATCTTGCATATTTATATAATTTTTAAAATATATATTTGTTTTAATTACTTTAAACTAAATTTTATATTATTAAATAAAAAATTATTTTATTAAATATATATAATATATATAGGGTTCTAAGTAAGTGCTATATTACTCATCTACATACTTATACTCCATAAAAAAATTTTAAAATCATACCCCTCTGTTTTTATCTCCAAAATTTATTACATATCCCTATTATGGTAAAAAATTTAAATTTCCTGTTGGCTTTGAATAAGATCAACATTCCTACTTACCTCAAATAAAAAATTGATTTAAAAATTTATTTAAGTATAAATTAAATATTATGGTCTTATTTGGATAAACTTAATGATTAAAAGCTTATTTAGATACAAATTAAAGTTAAAGTCTTATTTGATTGTAATAAAAATATAAGAACTTATTTTAATCAAGGAGTAAAATTCAAAAAAAAATTTATTAGTTTAGTCTAAAAAATTCAACAGGATTAGTTTGAATCCATCTTATTTTTAAACTTAACAGGAAAAATAATCCGCGCAGGGCAAATTTAAATAATGTAATTATAATCAGATACATAATTAAATGATAATTAGGTTCATAACTTAATTTTAACTAAAACTCAAAATTAACAAAGCGTTTAACTTTGACTTTGAGAAGATCCCAAATTGTGTTCTATGGACATCGTCAGCTTGAACAAGTTATGAACAGACTTAATTTTTATTTTTTTGTTAATTTAAACAAATGATTTTGACCAAAATTTTAGAGATTGTTTTATAAACAAATTGATCTCGGAAAAAATGTATTAAGTTCCTTTATATTCATAACAAATATCATTTATAAATTGTTCATAGATTAATTAAAAGCTCGTTTATGACTTATTTATTGTTTAATAATAATAATATATTTTACTATCGTTTATTTTTTATATTTGATATATTTATTTATATTTTATATTTTTTAATTATTTTTAGAGATATTACTTTAGAAATAATAGACTCGTTTAATTTATTTATATTTTAAATTTATTTGAATATCATTTATTTATTATTTATAAATAATTTTTAATTGCTTGTAAACACATTTGATTATATATTTATAAATAAAATATTTATTTAATATTAACGAATAAATTTATTTAACTTAAACAAACAAACATCATGTCAAAAATTTTTATCCAACACGAATAAATTTTAAAAACAATAAAATTACGAACGAGCCAAATTCATTATAAATTGACTCGTTTACAATCTTAAACATCCATCAAAGATAATGATTAAAGAAATATGTAATTCTTATTATAAATTATTAGTCTAGTACTGGGATTTGCACCCTATGTAGTAAATGAAAAAAAAATTACTCCTATAATTCTTTTTTTGTTTAGACAATCTAATCCGGTTTTATGCTATTTCAGAAATTCTGATGAAAAAACTTGTAAATAATTTAATTTTATTGAGCCCGTTTCAAAGGCATTATGAAGGCAGATGCATGGAGATTTGGTTCAACTTAATTGTCTACACAAACAGCCAACAGGTATAATATGATGATTTGAAAAGTGAAAAACAATATTATTTTTAAGGTTGTAAATATATATATATATATACACAAATTTATAAATGAGTTTAAAGCTCACGAGATATATCTAAAAAAAAAAAAACTTAACCTTATAAGTTAAGTAAACATAATATATATTTTAACAACCTCCTTCAAAATAATGATGGTTCGAAATGAAACATTTGGAGTTTGAAAACTAAATAATAAAAATGTAAACTTGAAAGAGACTTTGTAAAAAGATCCACCACTTATGACTCAGAAGAAATATGTGATAACATAATGGTGCCCTTGTATATCTCCAGTTTGATAAAATAACAATTTATTTCAATATGTTTCATCCGTTCATAAAAAATATCATTATGACCAATTTGAATTACACTCTTACTATCACAAAATAGTAGAATAAGAGTAGGCGTGTCAACACCTAAATTCATAAGTAACTGACACAGTCACATAACTTTTGCTATAATGTCTAATAAAACTCTATACCTTTGCTTCAGCACTTGAACGCGTCACAATTATTTGCTTTTTGCTTTTCTAAGATATCAAATAATCACCCAAAAAAACATAATAACCAATTATAGAATGTTGATCATTAACATCACTAACTCAATCAAAAAAAGCACAAAGTTCAAGTTTAGAAGTTGATGAGAACAGCAAACCTTTATGTAACATTCCTTGCAAATATCTCAATATCCTAAGAACTGTAATAAAGTGAATTGTCTGAGGTACTATCATAAATTGGCTTTC